CTCGAAACATTAAGAACCACCCTAACTCTTAATATAAAAACCCACCAAATATAGAGGACGGAAATGTGTGTTTTCGAACGATTTGAAAATAAAACGGCAGTTTCGCTTGGAAATGTGCTGCTGAATCATTACAGTAGTTAAATGTTACTAACTGGCTAAGTTTTCTACTGTTTGAGATTATAGCAGGAAGCTTGAGATTTGAGGAAGTTATGTTTGAAAAAGTGAAAACGCATACTTCACTGACCGGTAATGTATGAACCAGAATTTTGTGCTGAAACGATTACAATTGAGCGTTTCATTAGAGATGCGGCCCTGAGTATTGGTTTGCTGCATAACTTCATTACGGAACGATTTACACCGCTGTAGTGTAGATAGGGTGGATTCCCTTGAACTTAGGCGAAAGAGACTGTGACAACGCCAGTAATTGAAGTGGCATAATATTACTAGAGTCAATGCTATGATCGGTCATAGCACAAAACTTTACGGTGCACTGTTCTAGGAACCAGGTGTGATTTGAGTCAAAACACAAACTGGGCACCTGACTAACCTAATACGCCCAGCAAGCACTCCATCCTTGAATTACTGGATCTTGTGCAAATGTAACAACTCTAGTGTTTTAGGAGGAGCCCAGATAACCCGCATATTGCAGCGTTCATGGTTGTCTTGGCTTGACATTTTTGCGCGATGAAGTCTGAGGCAGTGAGTGGTCGTGGTAATGATAGCAGAAATACAATACGAGTATGTTTAAACAGCACATTCATGCGGCAGCCACTTGTATTTTATGCTACCGTTGAGGACTTGGTACATCTTATTAAAGACGCTCAGCGAAGTTGGTTGATAGTTAACGTGGCAAAAAAACAAAGGAAGAACCATCAAGAGGACTGGGTAGGCAACTCAGGAGATTGTTTCAGTGTCTCCTTCGACTTACGCCTGCTCAATAAACCACTGAAGACGTTTTGAAGGCGACTTCGCCTGAAAGTTCCACGTCACCATAGTCTCATTCTTCCTATCGAAAAAATAGAACCTGGAAAGTTTTTACCGCGTTGGTATCGGACTGTTCTCCTCCAAAGAATAAGCGTGGCTGGAATCGCTAGGCTCTTCACATTCTTCAACTGTCGACGGAACTTGTTCGGGAATCAGGGAAAGCCTGGAAAGCCTCGATTGGCTATGTTTCAACTGTAGGCGATATTGTTTTCTTGCCATGAGATCTGCGTATTCCTTCCTTTTTGAAAAGCATTCACCAAAAGTACTGATGTAAGTAAATCCTCGCAGTTGCACGAAATGCAACAACTCGATGGATGCAGCTCTCAATTAATGATTTGCTTATATGCGACGAAATATTTGCTCTTCCTCAATTCCTCGAAATATCATACCAGGTCAATAGGCCCCGTAGTACTTCATCACTGGATTATTGAAACAAAGGTCTCCCGTAAAGATTGAACTAACATACCGTGACCTGAAATGTACGGTGTTTGCTAATGCGGGCACTTGGCCCAGTGCGATTCGATCTTCTATTTCTTCCAATGTTTCTATATCAATAACCGATGGGCGAGCCGGTGATTGTCGTCGATTCCTATTCAAACCTAAAATCGCAGCTTCTTTTATCGTGGCAAGCAAAGATTTTACCGAATCTATGGGGTGGGCGCGATGGCTGATCTGTTGTCGATGGATGATTGTTGTGATGTAGTGAAATAGGAACGTACTTGAGAAACCTTGTGTGTCCACCTCAGCTCGAGCGCTTTGAAACAAATTTGCATCAAATGACTTCGAGAGGACTACCTTAACGAATAGCTTTGCACATGCGAACTGCATTCATGTTTCTAATTGCTTGATATGTATGTATATGTACAGAGCCAATGTTCTATCCTTATATTAGCGCAGGAGAGCAAGGTTTCAAAAAATTTCAACAACAAGAAGGCATGAAAGTCGTTCTGGATTCTGCAAAGGATTCCCAAAGTGAACGGCGGGAATGAGGGTCCGTCCATAACCAATGTCCCCTGCCATACTTACAACAATGCGAGTTATGATTCGTGTTCACCAGCTCCACAGCGTGATTTGCTTAATCGTAGGTATAAAAGAGACATCAAGTCCCAGTCTCACTCGCTACTGGCAGTTGGATATGGCGACAGCGGATTCTGGCCGCTTTGATGGTGGAGTTCTGGTATCCAAGTCTGCTCAACTCTGGTACTAGATCGCTCATCAACAATGCATAAATAAGTTAAACAGTTAGCAGCAGTGATATAATGATATTCACCAGTGGGAACAGTTGTCCTCTCATTTGTTATTCCCATAAGATAAACTTTGCTGTGAAAGTAGAGAAATGAGCATCTTGTGTATGCAAAGCCGTGCATTTTAGGGGCGAATTTTTAAAAAGGAAGTCTGAAGACTAACTCGTTAGAATGGTAAAATACCTCACCTGGCTTGTGCTCTCATCACTAGATGAGGTAGTGGCCTGCGAGTTCTGACTGATTCCGGACTCTTCACGGACCAGATCGGTGAGAACGAGAATGTCGCCGTCTTCTGTGTCAACCATATGCATAACGTCGTCAATGGATAGCGTCCGAGGTAGAAACCGTAACCTGCTGTTAAGAAACTATGTTAGAAATCACGGCTGATTGAAATTTTGTAAGCCCTTCGATGTTTACTTGAAGGCACAGTTCACGATTAATCAATGGGCGGGAATGTCAATGACTTTCCCAGCTCTCGAACGATGCCACGTCATCACGACAGACGAGTGTCGAGACAATACAGATTGCAACTATTCTTTCTAGGACCCACACACAATCGCCGAGTGATGAGGCGGCGCTTTTTCCCCTTTTTTCCTCTCTTATTGTTTTTGCTGCCGCCATCTCTTATTTGATTTCCTACTCCTAGAAGCTAAAAAAGGTGAGCCACTTCTGCTGTTACTAGGGTTTTTTGTTTACTTATGCTTCTAAGTGAATGGATTTTTGCTTACCACAGTCGTTTATTCTTACCAGGACCCACACTTATGCAGGGAGACACATTGTATAGCTCGCCCAAACTCCCCACTCTTCTTCATT